TGGGGATCATCTTTCCTCATAAATCATTTTACTGATGGCCAAAGTTAGGCTCCCATAGAAGAGTGGCTTGCCCACAGGCACTAACTTGTAAGTGACAAGCAACTATTTTCTATAGCTGTTAGTCATGGAACTGGTGTAGTTAGGGTTAGGCAGACTTAGATGTGCAACTAAGCATGGCACATTTTACATTGCACTGAGCCCCTCTAAGCCTCACTCTTCTCTGTTTAAAGAGGTGATTTTATTATTCATGCTCCGTAAGCAGTAGTTGTCACATACATATTAACTAATTTGTATGGTATTATTGATATATTTAATGTTAACAGCTCTGATAATCAAAATGCCACTTTTATACCTATAACTTGGCCATACAACCAGCCCCTCAAGGATGCAGCCCCTCCTCTTCAGTAATTTTCTCATGGTTTCCTTTTTAATGCTTAGGATTTAACACAGAGCCTCATCCATCCCAGGTGCATGGCCAGCCAGTGAGCTACACCTCCAGCCCCACACCAACTTTGACTCACTCTCTGTACCTTCTTCATTTACCAAGACTTTATTTACATTAGCAGCCTAAGCCACGAATCAAAATTTCACCTTGTTCTCTAAGACCAAGCAGATATGGTGACTGAAAAACAAGAGAACTTGAAAAAGACCCAAACCTTTTCAGCTCAGAGTGGTGGTGACATTATTTGAAGATGGCACTGGCCATTTCTCATGTGACCTCGTCTTCTACCTGATTTTCTCTATTGACAGAACTATGGCCTATTCATGGCTTAAAGAACAGATTTGAGTTTAGGTACTCAGCCAAATAAAAGAAAAAAGTACAAATTGTTAAACTTGTATCTTTGATACAAAGCCAATTTATCTGTCTGGGTGTACAATGGCCTTCAGTGTAGAGGACAAAAGAAATTATTCATTTTTCTCAGGTAAATCCATAGCACTTTTCATGAAAAGGACAGCATGGCCCCTGTGTCACCATCCTCACAGGTGACATGGAGGCCTGTTCGGACAGTTAGCTTTGGAAGGGCAGAAACTGGAAGCGTGCTAGGAAAGGCACTGATTGTTATATTTTACTACTTATTAATGGTGCCCCAGGCACTGAGAATTTAGACACTCGTGACGTGCTGGATAGATTGCTGTTACAAAATTTCCAGTGATATTATTGTGAAGAATAAACAGGAAGTGGCCAAAAAACTGCTACCCTTCAAAAGCCTAATTTTCATACAACTGTCAACACAGCAATTATATTGTCCTTTTTTTTTTTTTTTTCATTTTGAGGAAGTTTTGAAGCCTGCTTAAGGATCTTCTTCAAAAGAGACTTCTTAGTCAAAAATGTCTTCAGATACCCCAGGAAAACCACTGAAGCGGAAAGTGTGTGATTCCCACGCCAGGTTTTTCTGAGGAACGGCAAGCCTTGAATTCAGACATCCTTGCTGTGCTCAGCAGACATGGCCCGGCAATCAAAACCATTTGATTCCAAAGCTGATATTCCTGTAACAGGCAGGTTCCATCTCATTGTCAGCTCTGAAGAGGCATAATTACAAACAGTGATGACAAGAAGCATGCTTAACATAGTCTGATTCTTTCAAAAAGTTTTTTTCAGTAGTTGCTCACCTGTCCTTAGGAAACCCTTATGAGGCAGGTGAGGCGGTGGCCACCGTGCACAGGATGCACAGAGACCAGTCTTGTCAAGAGGCTAAATGGCTAGACCAGGCTATATCTCATGACAATCTCACAGTGATTCCTTGATGGCATGGAATTTGATGCATCACATATGTTTGAGAACCGATGATACATTCTACAGGATGATGAAAACTTATACATGGCCTTAGATGAAATTGTGTACTTGGCAAGGGAGGGTATGGTGTAAGGGCAGAATTGGGAGACACTACCAATATTTCCTTCCTTCCTTCCTTCCTTCCTTCCTTCCTTCCTTCCTTCCTTCCTTCCTTTCTTCCTTCTCCTCTTGAGACAGGGTTTTGCACAGGAATTCATAAAGTGGCTAGGCTGTCCTGCCAGCTTGCCCCAGGGATCCGCCTGGCCCCCAATGCTCTGCATCTGATTCTGGGTTTTCTGTGTGGCTGTTTATGTGCGTCGTAAGGACACCACTCAGAACCAGAGCCTGGGGATAGGTAGTTGGTCCTTTGTTCCAGTGTTTACATCTGAAATCAATGTGCTGGACACAGAAACAGATCTTGGTGGGGTGTGAAGTCCTTCTCTATTGGTAGCATTTGTTTCCTTACAGTTATATAATGAAAGTTCCCACTTTCTTCCTAGCTGCTGGCTGAAGGTTGCTCTCAAGTCTAGATGTCACTTTTGGTTCATTGATATATAATTTTCATAGGCAGTTCATAACTTTCATAGCATGTTGGTTTGCTCTGTTTTTGGTCAGCTTGTGCCACTATTGTATTCTAAAGTCTCACCCAATGAGGTCAGACCCATGTAGGATAGTGTCCAAAGTTATCCACAAGTCTATATTTGCATTTGCCATCACTTAAGTGACTGAAATTTCAACTTCTACATTCATAAGTTTTTAACTCAAAGTCTACTAATCGAGTCTGATAATCCATCTCACTCCCAGGCCCTGCCCACACTCAAGGGAACAGAATTATAGAAGGCATACACAGAAGTATGTAGAGCTTTTGGGGACTCACTTTAGAACCCTGGTTCCCATGTGTCTTTTCACCCATGGTTGTGGATTTCTGCCTTACCGTGTGCATTGTGTTGGCCTCCTCTTTCAAGGAACCACACTTTCCCAAATGAACAAACTTCCTACCCCTCCTTCAATGCATCTTTAAGAAACAGCAATATTGTATAAAAGGAGTAAATCACTAATACTAGAGTTTCAGGTAAGGCAATAAGCACCTGTTCTTGCATTACCAGTTCTTAGCATAATGTCTGCATTTGCAAGTTCTCATTTATGTTTCTTCATTAGATGAATATGTGAATGATTAAATGAGAAATATTTTGAGCATCTTTGTCAAATTGTTTCAGTATAAAAATTGTCTACTCCCTCCACATGCAAGAATGATTCCTCCTCTTAGTTTTTCTTCCTGGTAATGCAAACTTATTGAAAAAAAACCACTTCTATCATTCTACTTTTTATAGTTAACTTTTTAATCCATATGGAACTAAGTTCTCAGTGTCATGTATAAAATATTCAATTCTTACCCAGTTAGTCTGCATTGGCTTGGTTTTTATATACTAGCTGTTGTGTAAGCGTTAGTATTGAACTCTCTTACTTCATTGATCAACCTGTCCAATTTTGTGAACTAGCATCACTATTTTAATTCTGAGAAGGTTATCATGTATTAAACTCTGAAGGGACAGGTGTGTCATTATTTTTCCAGCACCCCAACTTGGCTGGTTAACTGAGGACAGTCTCTTACCCCTACTCTGGCTCTCCAAGCAGTACAACATTCTTTGGCAAGAATGAGGTTTACATTTTGCCTGTTTTTCTAGCTCAGTTCCTCTGGTTCCCATCATAATATGACTTCATAATTATAACAAAGGGTCCAGCTTCTAAGTATCTCTCAGCACCCAGCTCCAGGTCAATAACTGCCAGGGAGAAGGAGAGTTATCTGAGTACCCATATTCTCAGGCTCCCCTTTGCCCTTCCATCCTTGTATACGGAAACTCTGAAAAGTATCCAGTACCAATTCTGAGGCCTCAGTATTTCAGGTTCAGTATAACTTTGGAGCTGGGAATTCCAGGATTCACACTTACCTCCAGCAAACCCTTTTAGGTTCTGTGGATTAGTGAGCTGACACATCTCCAGAGTGCTCCTGGGGTGACTCTGGAAGGCAGCATGAAGTACTGAAGTCCTCTTTGTCTGCCCTTGCAGGGGAGTGAAAGTTCAGAGAATTACCACATCTGCCTCACCCCCAGGCATCCTATCTCTGGATTTTGGCAGCCAGAGACAATCTTCAAGCGATGAATTACAGGTGCAGGGTGTTGGAAGTCATTCTGGCACATGCTGAAGTGGTGCTGGCCAGGGGACACGCACAGAGCTCTGACAGCACTTGCTAGAAATTAAAGACTGGAGAAAGGGCAGCAGTTCCAGGAAACTCCGCAGTACTGAATGATTCCTTGCATCTAGAAGTTGATAAAGGTGACCAGTTGTCCTTAGTAAAAGTATAGGCCCTGGAAATCAGAGGTCTGTGATGAGTCACAGGAAGCCAGAAAAGGAGAAAGTCAGAAGCAACCTTCTTGCTGGCATCTTCCCTCCAACCCAGAGAAAGCAGGGAATAATATTCACTCCTTCACGAAGGGTGTCTGCAAGCATGCTCAATGCTCTGAGTTAGCTGAGCTAGACAGATGGAAGAAAGAGACACAAAGTGGCCCCTGTGGGGACTCTCTTGCCTAGTGAGGAGAGAAGGAATCCTTGTGTCCTCTTATCCCCCATTCTAACTCCATCCTTGTACCACCTTCAACAGATGAACAAATTGGATGCCTAACATCTGAAGAGTATTAGCTACTGCATAGTCAATTGTTTATTTCTAGAACCCACCTGGATCCAGAGAGGAGAGTGATTTGCTCAGGTTTCTCAGCTTCAGAGCAACCAAGGGGTGAAAGTACTTTCCTCTCCAGCAAGTCTCCATTTGAAGCATGAGGCTGCTGCTGGAAGGCATCACACGCTCTATGAAGCAATTACAGAAATACTTGAACCTGTTTGTGAAAGGGGTGATGCTTAGTGAGCCCAGGTAGGAATGGAGCTGCCATTCATAGTCCCTGAGCTCAAACTTTCTTCCTGGTAGCTGTGAGGACATAAGGCACTGTATTAATCCGAGGTTCTTTTTCTCATTTGTAAGATGCTGACATGGTGCTTCTTCCTACGTTTGTGTTTGGATAAATAAAACCATACCTATCAAAGCTCAGCTCAATGTCTTAGGGCATAAGTTGCATTTCATCACTACTAGGGAGGATTTCACCATTCAGTTATGTACGATGCTCTCAGATGGGACACAGACTTGTATCCACCTCACATCTCTCTTCTTTTCTAGTTTGGAGCCCTGGAGGAGCAGCACCGAGTCGGAGAGCTTGGCGAGAGAATGAAGACACTAACCGACTGGGAGAAGCATGAGGTGGCAGCACAGCTCTCAGTTTAGAGGGCTTTGGCCGGAGGCCGCCCCATGGGCAGTCCTGTTGGCACTAGGCGTGCCCGGATGGGTGCTGGCTGTCTCAGCCACCGTGGCCGCTGTGGTCCCGGAACAGCATGCCTCCTCGGCTGCACAGGCTCCCCTGGACTGGCTGCTCACAGACCGAGGCCCCTTCCACCGTGCCCAGGAGTATGCTGATTTCATGGAGCGTTACCGCCAAGGGTTCACCACCAGGTACAGGATCTACAGGTGAGTGGAGTCTCCTACAGAGGCCAGCCTAGGCAGTGTCCAGCTATTGTGTCAAGCTGCAAGCCCAAACTGATAAGAATGCCCTCAAGCTGAACTAGAAGTTGAATGTGGAGAAACACTGGGCCAGGAAATAAGCCTGCCATGTTTTTTTTGTTTGTTTTTGTTTTTGTTTTTGGATTTTGAAAGGAAACACATACAGACTAGAAAACCTGCTGATGCCTCCTGGGGACTTAGCAAAAGGGTTTCTATTTATAGATTGTTCTGCTTATAAATTGAGGACAAATCAGGCGGCATGCAGGCAGCATGCAGACGGCATGCGACTCAGGCTGCAGGAGGAGGTCAGAGTCAAATGCTGGGCCCTGTTTTAACTAATGGGTTAGGGACTTTTATGAGTTGTAATTACTTAGCCATGCAATGAAGGAAGGAAAGTTTTCCTATTGTTTGGGGAGCCTACATGGTTAGGGTTAAACCTTGACAACACCAAATGAAGCTAGCTTTGACCATGGGAAGAGGCCCATCTCTAGGAACAACCCACATGAAAGGTAAGAAGGCATGTTTAGTTTGTCTATAAGATGTGGGAATGGCACATATTTCTGGGTGCTAGACTATACTGCAAAGGGGAACACTCCTCACCATACTGGCCATATGTATACATTGTGCCCAGTCCAGCCCAATTCTGGAAGAGATTGCAGCTCCTGCCCTTTACTTAAGTGGAATTAGTCCTTATACTTCTTCTAAGAATCTAGCAGAGATTCATACTGAATCACCGAGGGCTGAATCAAACTGCTCAGACAAAAGCAGAATCGTAGAAGAACCAGAGCACAGCATTAACTCAACTTTCAATAAGTATGTGGAATTCTAGGCACATGTCCCCCATACACTTTCTATGTGGTAATTTAGGGCAATCTTTTATACCTCTTACAAAAAAACAAAACTTGTATTTTAGCAGAGAATTCTTCCAGTTCAGTAAAATGAGATTTAATTTACCTTCCATGATTTGGTGTATTCAAGTCTCACAGAATCCCTGTCTTCAGAAAAATATTTTTTATTAAGTATATTGGATTGGAAGGCAAGCTAGGAATCCTAATACCACCATGAACTTCAAAAAGCTATGGGAAAGAGAACTAGGCCATTGTTAGCTTGCTTCCTTTTTCTCTTCTTGGTAGATTCTTTCCCCCTCACTTAAGCCCCAGACCCAAGTCTGGATAGCTTAGCAGTCAGTTAATGCCTGGGCAGCAGCTCAGAACAGGCCCATGGGGAGTATCTCTAATCTCTTCTGCACCATCAACCCTCTATCAGGTAGTAATGGTTTTCTGATCATTTAATGTGACAAGCTCTTACACTGTGCTGTTCAGTTTTCCCCGGGTCAGTTATTGCACATGAACCTGTACTTGGGGACACAGTAACCAGTCATTCCAAAAGCAATGCAGCATTCTGATTTGTGACCCTTTGGTGGAGCTGGAGGACAATGGTCACACACCAGTGCTCCAAGAGCTTTCTGGGAGATTTGCCTTCAGTGATTAAGCAAAAATGTTGCCTTTATAGATATTTGTAGGGCTCTATATTATCCCATTGGGAATTCTTTCTGAGTCCCATTTCTTTTTGGATCCCATGGAAATTGCCTCTGGCAAATTCAGGACCTAGCTTATACTGACTAAGGCAGGTCACAGAAAACTGGAAAATAGACACTGAGTCATACCCAAATTTCTCTCCTACTATTCAAGGGGACTGAAAAGAAAACAGCTAACAGAGAGTATCAGAAAGACTTTGTGGGAAAACTATGGTGTCTCAAAAATGAGTCTTTTGTTTTATAATTTAAGGAATATTTTGGTACATAGAAATCAGATGGCATCCATATATGCTTTCTATATAAAGGGAGAATCAATTGATAGCAAAGAATAGGATTTTCTGAGGGGGCTGGAATACAAGGTGCAGAGTTACCTGGCAACTCTCTCAACCGCAGGAAGGGGACCTTCCTTCTCATCTAGCTGCAGATGCTTAACAGCTACTTTTAACCCACCTGACCTGGTGTATTCTTAGTTAACTATCAGAGTGAACTCTCAATCTGAGGAGATAGCTTATCTTTCCAGAATAATTTCAGCCCTTCTACCCATGGACTCCGAGAAAGGTGCTTATTCCCTTACATTGATTTTCTATAGGTGTAGGTGCTTACGGGTTAAGACTCTAGAGCCAGATGCTCTGGGTTCCAGTTGTGAAACTGAAGTTTATCAGCTGTATCATATTTGGAAAACTACTTAAAAGCCTTATTTCCCAATGTCCTTATTAGTAAAGTGAAGATAACAGTGCCCACCTCAAGACTGATGTGAAATTAAATGAGTTCATTGATACAGTATTATTTATTGATATTAGATTGTTTTTAATAAATATTAGTCCAGGCAAAAATGGTAAGATGAGATGGGAACCATAGCTATGATTGTTATGAAGCCTTCTGAGGGCTTAGCATATAGAAACCCATCAAGAATGAGAGAATTCTCTTGTTGTTTCAAAGCACTTTGACCTGTACCCCTCAATCTGCCTCTTTATGGAGAGACAGTCACAAGTGCAGAACAACTGATGTTTCTCACACATACTCTACTGGTCACGAGGGCTACTCTAGGGAGCAAGGCGACTTTTGGCATAATTTGAAATGTCACAGGCTTAGTTCTTGCTCCTGCTGCCAGAGGTAGCACAGCAGCACTCCTCCGGCATGTCCTCCAGAGGCTGACCACTGCAAGCTCCCTGGCCCTGGGTGTGATGGTGCTAGTAGGAAGAGTATGTTCTGTCTAGTTAAGCCTCATGAGCAGTAAGATGGTCTTGGCATTTTACCTGAAGGTTTAAAATCCCACTCACTAACCTCTCAGCATTTGTTTCTCCCACAAAAACAGTCTGAATCACCAGTCCACCCCTTAGACATCACTCTCAGCAGACTACTTAGAAGAGCTGTAGGAAGAGAGATCCTGTCTCCAGTTCCATTTGTGACCCTCAACTGCCCTCACCCTTGATTCACTTCATAGTCCCACTACAATAAACACTCAGTGCCTCACCTCTCACAGCCATGCCACAAGGCAGATAGAGCCTTTTAGGGTCTTTGGCATTGAGACAGAGTTGTTCAAGGTCAGAGAGGTAGCCAGTTACAGCCAGAAATAGCACTGGGGCTCCTGGCTTGAAGTTTCCTGCTCATTACTCTAGCCCATGCCACTTCCCTTTGACTGCTAAGTGCATCTTCATCATAACGCACAACCTAATCAAGCCCCTAAATTGAGATGATGCAAATGTAAATATGGTTTCTCGAAACACTCTAGCAGTAATGTTCCATTCTCTGTCTCCTACAAATCAAAGTAATGAGCAGTATGTTTTTTTTTATTTCTCTTTGTATTAAAGTTTTAATAGAGAGCTAATCATGGGATTGGAAAAAAAATCCAAACCACAATGATAAAACACTTAAAAATAGGAAAGAATATATTAAAATTGAGAAAGATAGGAATCATACATGTAATATGGTAGTTGGGAGAAAAGAAAAGTCAAGTGTGACCCGAGAATGCTGGCCTCCCTACCTTTGTGCAAACCTAATTCTTTATGGAAAGGAATGGTCTGAGGTTACATCACAAGTCTGAGATGAAAACACGACTAGCCATTAAACAAATAATTGCATTGGCAGATGAGAACATTGTATTCTTGGAAAACTCCACATATTTCTAGACCCTCGGAAGAAAACAACTCAAAGCCAAGTTCTTGTAGAATCACAGAGGCAGAGGTGGAACATGTGGTGAATGGCAACGGTGAGCAAGGCAAAAGAACTTTCCAGCAGGAAGCACAGAGAGATGCCTGAGAAGACACAATCTGCTTGGAATCCTACAGGATGCAAAGTGAGATCTAGCATTAGGTCACATTGAAAGAAGGTGTCAGGAAGGACCAAGTGTTTCATCTACTTTCCTGAGTTAGTGGATTAAACCTATTGTCATCTTCCTACCATTTGTTAAAAAGACAGACCCTCAAGTCTCCCCAGACCCACAGAATCAGTATTGGCATTTGAACAAGATCCCTGATGAGCAACCATGGCCTTGAAGCTTGAGGAGTACTGCCCTGATCACACACAGGGTATGGAGCTTCAAGAACAAGATGGACCATGGTGCAGAGCCTGACCTGGTGGCACATCCCGTAATCCCAGAATAACGAGGCTGAAGCAGGAGGATTACAAGTTTAAGGCCAGTTTGGGCCTGCATACTAAGACCTCATTCCAAAAAGAGAAACAAACGAAAGGATGACCAGGATGAATGAGAAGATATGGTGTCATGGGAAGCCACCATCCCTCACAGTGCATCTGCAATAGATAGTATGAAAGGAAACTGTTACAAATGGAAGAGAGTAGCAGGTGAGGTAGGTTAAATTTAGGAATTATTAGTACAAGGCACATGAACTCATAAGAATAGTTGCAGCAGCTTGGAGAAAACTTTAAAAGCAGAGGAGGCTGCAGGGCCTCGGAGCAGCCTGTGGGCGCCTCCTGGGAGATGCGGAGGTGAGGAGGCAGAGAGCAGCTGTGGATTCAATCACAGGAGAAGCACCAGAGCTGATTTATCATCCAGACCACGTCTTGCCGACTAACAAATACTGATTTGGATAAACAGCAAACCCTGGGAGAGGCACCATCACCAATTAAGAGATCACAATTCACATAAATAAATGGCAAGCAAAGGCAACCTCAGCCTGCTTAGGAACATCCCAATGATTTCTTAGGCATTTATTACAGAAACTAAGATAGAGATAGTCCATGCTGCTGCAGGACTCCATGAAGGGGCCATGGTTCTCAGGAGCACATTTGGAGAAAGACCACACCCAAGTAAACCGCTTGATCTCCAAAATCATTTCAGGCCTTACATTTTGGTTACATGGAGCTTGTTACGACAGAAGATTGAAAGGAATATCCATCAACTGATGTTGTGATCCAAAGCTGATCACACTTTGAGGCATATGGCAAGGATGAGCTAGCTTGCAGTTATAGT